GCCCTAAGTCTTTAATAATCGCTTAGTTTCCCTTTCAAGGTACTGCTAATATTTACGAGCGGTTACGGAATTGCAGATACACCATATACGTTCCCTTAGCGCGAAAATTTCTAGAGAAACTATAAAACCACAGATAAAAAACTACACTATGAACAAAGAGGTCGGTATCTAGCAACAATGGTATGCCTTAATGGAATTTAAAAGCGATTGTAATGGTAACACATAGTAAAGGATAACATCTCTGTTGGCAACACAGAAAAAAAAACTTGTACATGACTGGTGCGAAATTATAGGGCATTAATGAGCTATTATGTATGAAACATCAATAACTTGATACCTGTATGGAATAAGAAATAAAATCGACCATAGATAATGGGGTCCTACCGTCCCACTGCAGTATTCATATGAACAATAAATATTGTAATTATGGTAAAAAATTGTGCCACCGTTTTGTATAGTCTGTATTAATTAGATATTGTAATATGATGCAATTAGTTCGGAAAACTGTTAAGTATTGCGAAATTCATTTGTAAAGTCGTGCTTTGCGTGTTAACCCGTCGAGCGTCCGCGTTCCTTATGATCCAACGGGTGCACAAGTGATATTTGGAGAAAGAAAGAAAGAAAGAAAATGCATTTATTTGGCCATTGGCACACGAAAACAATAGAAATAAAAAATACAGTCAAAATAAAAACAAAACATTAATAATGGATTTTATAAAAGAGAAAGCAGCATGGAGCATTTTTTCTTATGATCCACCGGGTGCTCATAAGGACGCTCGAGGGGTTAAGGTTATTTGATAGTTGAGATGGATAAATTTATGGACTTACAGAACACCCGTTGTTTGGTGCTCTTGACTTATAGTACGATGTCATAAAATATCGGTCCTAGCGTCTTTTGCTTATTTGAAATCTTTGTCTCGACAAAGCAAAGAAACAGCTGACGAAAGTCCAGCCCTACAGACTCCAGATGTCATCTCCTTAGAAACAATTTAAATGCTCATTCTTCTCCATAGAAATCTACACCTTGGAATGAGCAAAAAGCTTCACTTTTGATTTATATTGTTGATGTTCAAAAGTGCCTTTCTGGTCTCATTGAAATAAATGATTTTGACTTTGAATTTGAAATTCGACGTTGCAGGAATGTTTTGTATTGATTTCTTTTGCTGAAATCCTGACCCTCAACTGTGTTGTGACCTTATAAACAAAAAGTTCCAGGAAAACGAAATGTTATGAAAGCGAATACGGAAGTCACGTAACAATACCCAATTGTAATTAACTTCCGAATTAAACCCCGTTTATGAAGTAATATTTCTTTTAAAACTAACTTTTTACTCAAAAATTTCGCAAAAAAACAAAGTAGGAAACAATATTTCACCCCGCGGTACCAGGGCAACATAAATCGAAGGTAAGTATTACGTATTACGCAATTAAACTTCGGAACCCCTCGAGTTCGATGTCGAAATCACCAATTCAGTATTTCGCCCGAAGAGCTTCGATGATGTAACTCTTAGAATTTCAAATTTCGCCCACTTCCGTGACGAAATATTTCGGTGTAGCGGTGAATTTCGAGTGTGTACAAGTTTTGGTGTAAAACTGCATTACAATGGGGGCCGGGTTGTTTGCTGTACTTGTAGGTTTATTCGTGAATGTTTCCATATAACTTCAGGTGGATGTCGCGTGGAATTGGGGAGTATTGTCGATTCTATGTCAAGTAGTGATTGACAACTGGTACTTTTGATTTGACTGAGAGCTATCGAAGGCCTTATAATGATAACAATATGTTCTAATTTGTTACAGTAATCTAATGGACTTCTTGCAGATAACTTTAGGTCCTCGTACGTGTTCCATAAAGCTGAAATTTTGTAGTCCAGTGAATAAATAACACTTACATTATGCCCAGCAGTAAAAGGACACCGTCCAAAATATGACAATAATTTGAAAAGAAAATAATATGTCCTAGTTCCTACACATATGTAACAGGGAAGTAATTATCCACGTAGAAGCTGACTGGACGTAAAAAACAAGGCATACTATCAAAACACTTCCAAGTCTTGAATCAAAAGGACTTCACACAAATCCTTGTAATCAAATTCAAAACTTGGCAAACATAACCTAAAAAAATGGTAGCCTACGTCTCTATCCTTCGGAACGCGATTGCATGCAACAAATGCATTCGATATCGGTGAAGCGCAATTTTCGTGTTAGGCTGTACGATTTGTCGTGCGACAGTCATCTATGATTTATATTACGGCCTACAAGGCATGGTGGCACGCAACACTTGTGATCAATTGTCGCTTTACTGACTTTTAGGGAACATTTTGAGGATAGCTTGTAATGAAATAAGCTATTTGGTGACGTCAGAGCAAAATACATTTCTCTTTCTTCTCAGTCGTTGTCTTTTAGTCTGGTGCACGCGTCACTTGATACACAACCCTCCTCTAAGCGAACTTGTCCTCTGCGGTAACTATTTTCTCTTTTGAAATGATCAACCATTCCAAACTCATTGGGTCGATAGATGAACATATTTGGAAAAGTACTATGGTTATATATATTTTTAAAGGCTTATTGTAAATGGCCGCATTTCTATTAATAATTGTAATTGTTATGCGTTTACCAGATATTGTTATCTGATTAGGACAAGCATACTAAGACTGAGTAGATTCAGAGACGACGATAAATAATAATGAGTTGTGGCGACGCATGCCACATGTCAGCGGATGACGTCACAAGATTCCTACATCGCACATGCAAAGTTTACAAGCGAATAAACACGGATAGAAAATCCCAACGAACAACTGTTGGGCAGAAAGCCCGCCAGGCACGATCACCTCGCCTGGTCGGAGGATCCTCCTTTTCCGATCTTAGGGAACTATACTCTCTGTTCCCTACAGTGGTGACCCCGACGTGATTGGAAACAACCTTCACTTCACGGAGCAGATTAGCACCGTCATCCGTATCGCCATCCCTCTCATTCATCACTTCTCCGCTGAGCGGTAACCAAGTCGCAGCCAACCAGCATCCTCGGCCTCATCAGGGACCACCATTACCTGCAACGAAGTTGTGCAGCCTGGTTCTTCCCTACGGCCTCACCAGCGTCTAGGCACAGCACTTCTGCACACGGTCTGAAGGACACCTCCTCCCGTCAACGCAGATGCCGGCCACTACGCACCTACCCTCGCAGCATCTCTTCCCCGACTCACCGTGGGACACTGCGAGCTCATCTCTCCGACTCACTGGAGTTTCACCCTGCACCGCTCACCCGACTCACTGGGCACTCAGCGGCACGGTTCCGACCCACTGGAACTAGGGACGTTCTACACTGGCTCTGGCGCCACTCATCTCAAGCATCGACAGCCGTCTCAGCAGGATCGACCTCCGGTCTTGGGAGGGAGTGATGTGGCGACGCATGCCACATGTCAGCGGATGACGTCACAAGATTCCTACATCGCACATGCAAAGTTTACAAGCGAATAAACACGGATAGAAAATCCCAACGAACAACTGTTGGGCAGAAAGCCCGCCAGGCACGATCACCTCGCCTGGTCGGAGGATCCTCCTTTTCCGATCTTAGGGAACTTTACACTCTGTTCCCTACAGAGTTGTTAACGCATTTTAATAATGATAACTTTGTTGCCTACCTACTGATTAATAATATAATTTAGGTCAAATAGAGATTTTGTATTTTTAAGCACTGCTTGCTGCTTCGACTGCCTCGTTGGCCGAGTGGTCGCAAGTGCGACTGCCGGGCTAGGGGTCTCGGGTTCGATTCCCGGGTCGGGCAAAGTATTACTGGGTTTTTAAAAATTCTTAGTAATAGCATGGAGTCTGGAATTGTGCCCGGTATATGGCAATAGATAACATAAATAGTGAAAAGTGGGTGTTATATTGTACAGTGGCATAATGTACACCTCTGTCTACCCTTTTGGGGATAAAAGGCGAAAGAAACTAACAAATTAGACTAAAACTAAAACGTAGTCAGTAAAATCCTAGAACTCCTTGGCGGATTAGTCATATATTTTACACGCACGAACTTTGTCCTTACGTCCTTACAATAGAAGATAAAAAAGCAATTATAATTTTTGATGCAGCCATTCGGCAGTTACGCACGAACATGGGTACATACATGCACATACATTTAGATGATTCATTCTTATTATTATTATTAAATTAGAAGCTAGACAGATTAAAGAACATCACAAAAAAGGTTATAAGACGTATGTTGTGACGTCATCGTTTGACGTATGTTGTGACGTCATCGTTTGACGTATGTCGTGACGTCATCATTTATTAAAGTGTATACTCTAAATATACTCCTTTTCTGTGGTTGTACTTTCCTATCCTGCTTTAACTAATTTTGTGAGGATGAATTTATCTATGCAAATTAGTCTGCTTAGATCTGAATGTGGTTAAGAGATAAAATATAGAATGGAATAACGTTTATACACCACTAGTAACACAGTTCATGTATAAAAAAAACTAACTAAATAAAAAGAAAAAAAATAATAATTGGAACAAAGGCGGTCTTATCATTTATAGTGTAGTGTGTTGTACTAGACAACCTTTTGGGTGGCTATAACGCAAAAGTAATATTTAGACAGGTTGTGAACTATGGAAAAAACAAAATAGTAATAATATCTCGTCGAGTACCGTATTTATAGACACAATTAAAGAACAATAGGTTGCGGTCACCGGTGACCGCTTGGTGTTTGACAGTTTAATTAGATATTTAACAAATATATAGGTATATCTATGAAAATATAATTATATTATTTGAATCTTACAAAGCAACAGGCTATTATTTTGTTATATTTAATATGGCTATCGTCATCTTGAGGTCGCTTTAAATTCTATCCTTAGAAGACTGAATAAAATTGCTCTGTTAGTATATATAATCAAAAATACTCCGCTGACATCATTAGGAGAGGAGTTCAACATATCATTCTCTTCATTAATAGTGTAGCAATTATCAGAACATGAATATATTCTTAAAGTAAACTTACTTTGTTCATGTTGCTGCCATGCTAGCGCTCCGCAGAGTAACGCAAGTGTCTTTCCCGAACCTGTCGGGCTCTCCAGTATGCAGTTTTCTTTCTTCTTAATAGCAGTTATTATCTAAAAATCAAAGACCAAAGTATTACTGGGTTCTACTCATGAAATAAGTCTTAATTACATAATAATATACTAATGTGCAGTTTTCCTCTGGTTCGATTAACGTCCCCTGGATACCAATCACTTACTATCTTGTACCAGTTTTCCTTGTTTCCTCTCATCATATGACCAGTTCATCAGCAGAGGAAAACAGTTAAAACGATGAGAGGACAAACCTTAGTTCGTCAATTCAATTTTTGACATTTTAAAAGTGCTTAGTTAGGCATTAAATAATTGTTTTGACTTTGACAATGTAAAATGCCCTAGGGATACTATATTACATTCTGTAATTACTATCTAATAACCTCGCTTTAGACTTTAGTACAAATGTTAGCAAATAAACACTTTAAGCGAGCTTAAACTGTGAGACTTCTTTATTCAATATCTGACTTTCATGCAATGTGGTAAAATTGAAAATATTTGGTTTTAAGTATTTAACTCATTCATATAATAGTGCAGCTTATAGAACCAGTGTCAAATACAATGAAATAAAAAGTTTTAATACTTATAACTTAAGTGGTATCTTATTATCTTACCTTAGACATTAAAGCGATTTGACTCCCATAAGGGTTGACTGGCAACATAACGTTTACTCCTTCAATCATCTTGTTAAACACATCCTTAGGAGGCTCTATAGGCGGTCTAGTCTTCACAGACTTCACTACAGGCACACTAACATTCTGTTTTTGAGGGAACAAAGCCTTGACTGCCGCTTTCCTCTGTTTATTCTTACCATTCCCCTTCCCCTTACGATTTTTAGAAGAAAACAGGGATTTAACAGCTGCCTTTTTCTTTTCAACCACTACTGAGCTGTCCTCATCATCAGACATGAAGTCATTGTCGAAGGAAAACTTATTGAATTCTTCATCGCTACTTATGGCTATTACGTCCTCTTTAGGGTTATTTTGGACATTTGTTGAGCACTCAGGTCCGTTGAAACTGTCATCATCGTCAGATATTTCGATTTGTGAGTCCATTGTTTTCATATTATGGTAAACAAATTATTGTGAATCACTTTTAAATCACTTCCCGCGCTTACGTCTTTTACATGGATTAAAGGCTTTTATTACGATGTTTCTTTCACAGTTCACACATTAAATGGTTCTTAATTACTCTTTAAACTATAAACACTAATGATATCACATTTATATTAAAGAAATACGAAGAAAATTAAAAACGAAATAGCGAAAACAAACAGCTGAGGCCGGTTGTCAAACGAAATACGAATTTGACAACTGAACTAACGTTGTCAAAAGTTGCGTTTCGTTTTTCTGAACGTGAACAATCGTTGGACAGTGATGAAATTAGCAGTTGGTGGTGTAACAAATAGAATGAACTGGCATGATATGAATATCATAACATATTAATAACATATTTTGTTATAATTCTTAACGGGGTTGGTAGAGGTCACGTATAGAAACTAAGACATCATGATACGTGTTTCTTAAAATAGGGGGATGAGGTAAGCATATTGGCAGACACAACCAGGGCTATTATGATTTTTAACTTCTCCTAAAAGGAACAATTTTGTAATTTTAAAAAAGTATTATTCGGGAATCGAACGCAATATTCCTAGCGTACAAAGTACCTACAGTTTAATGCTACTGATGGCAATAAAAAATGAGATATTAATTAAGGATAAAATAGATAGTAAAAAAATTAAGAGATTTTCTACAAAATAACTTTATTTTTTTACATTTTTACAAACATGTGATGATTAGACGACACTATCCTCGTTATTGATTTTCAAAATCAGTTCTGAAGATCTGCAACAATATGAAAATAATGGTTACGTTTACGTTACACACGTATGTAGTACAGTAATGACCTATTGGACTGCGATACCCAATCCGTCCGCCTCCGCCATGCGTGGAGTTTATTGGGTTAGGAGCAGGAAAAAGATGAAGAAGAAAATAGATAACAAATAATTACTAAGTTGAAATATTTAATTACAGTCATTTCATCATCATCAACAGCATATAAGTGGCCACTGCTGACCAAAGACATCTATCTTTTCGCACGGAGAAGGAATGAGCATATTACACCACGGTTGCTCAATGCAGGTTGGCGATTTCAAACCTATAGGTGATCAGAAATTATAAGCCCAGGTTTCCTCACGATGTTTTCCTTCAACGTTTTTAGTGGTGTCTGAAAAAGTCACATTGGTACTTGCTATTGGTAGGTTTCGAACCTGCACTCTAATGCGTGAGAAGCGGGCGTCATAAACCTCCAGACCACCATTACATTTTATACACCATAAAAGTCACTTGAGGTCATCATAATAATTATTATCGCATGAGGCACAAGTCTGAACAAAGGCCTTCCAAATCTAATGGTGCGGTGCGAAGTGATTTGCATCCAGGCAACGCAGTGTTTTCAAGCGACCGATCTGTATATTTTTAATCGAAATATTTTTAATTACGCTACAATCGGAAAGAAGAATTAATTTTACCTTCTCGGCTTCGCCATTATAAAATTTTGTCGCCCATGTCTTTTTACCAGTTTCTTTGTGGTGATGTTAAGATGAGGTATGAAAATAAAGATAAAACGAATGTCCAACCCAACCAACACATGTTTACAAGGGTTTTTGATATTGTTGCATTGAATTATTCTAATTCTGTAAAAAGTCACTAAAAAATTTGACAGCTAACTTATTTTTTTTGTAAATTCAAACTTTTCAATGGTTGATTTAAACATCCTTGTTTATGTTCTGAAAAAACATTCAAAGAAGGTACCTATAATAATTACGTAAAATAGGTTCTTAAATAACCATCATGTTTGTCTATGGTACTGTTAATCATCAGAAATTAATTAAAAAATCTACTTATGTAAGTGCCTACATAACAAAAAATGTTTATTCTATTCTAACGTTTCCTGTCAATAAACAAAATTGTACTTAACATTTTATTTGAACTCTAGCTAGATACTTCGATAGATAGCTATCGTGACAATAATAAAAATGCATAAATGTATTTTATTGTTCACCCACCATTAACGCTCTCGGTATTAGTCAAAACGTCTGGCTGTATGGAGTGTTGCCGTTGCCCGCCAAAATTTTGGCGCCATTACACAAGTGAATTGTCACAGAGGTTATGGCGCGAAATAATTTGGTTTATAACCCGACACTACGCTGTTTAGTCAATGCAATTAGTAAATATGTTGCGATTTTTTGCGCCCTTTTGAGCGAGTTTTGGTGAAAACGTACTTGTTTAACCGATTTCTGTAATCAGTACTTACCTAATCGTGAAATAAAACCATTTGGACGCATATTGGACGTACTTATTTCTGAAACTAGACGGAAGGGCCTTAAACCGAACGAGGAAGACGAAAACATATTAACTAAAGTGAACAACAGAGAGACAAAATATGACAACGCGAGTAAAACTACGAGGAAGAGCTATAGGTAAATTCATAATATTAATTACTTACCTAAATATGAATATTCATAGGTACAAGAAAAATTACAAACATTGCACGCTTCTAGTTGCAATGATAAAACTATTAGACGCACTTGAATAAGTTTTACGCATATTAATTTCTTCATATGGACATATTAACAGAAATTGTTTAGCATACTTATTTGTAGGTAATTAGTCTTCATTGCTTATTAGTCACAATAAGGTATAGCATTGAAGCAAATGTCCATCAGCCCAAACGCCCTTGGTGGTCATGACAACAGAATTTTTTCGCTATTCCGTAGATGCACAAGTGCACTTACCTAAAATATTTCCATCTACTTAGGTATTTATTAGTCGATTTTAATTTTTGTATTAAAATCTATTGTATGGATATTTTAGTAGATTTTTTCTATACTAATAGTCACTACGTTAACATCTTCTTTGTATCTTTTCTGTATCGGATGGAAGCAAGAAATCAGCAATGCAATAAAATAATAAATGCATAAACAATGTTTTACTAAACTGTGCAAGGGATGTCACCCTATTTTTCGGGGCATTCAACAGTTTACGTTCGTTTTAATACGACTCCTACAAATTGGTGTACGTCATAAATTACAGTGCGGAGACAGAGACGACTGACTCCCCTTGCTTTGGGTCGCGTACGTATTGGGGCACTTGTCTGTCTACGTTGTCACAAAATAAAAGAAAGAAAGTGATCATTGTCTCATATCTTCTATTATGACTATTTATAATTAGAACAAAACAATAATTGAGTTACTGATAAAACAGCAGAACAAAGTAAAGAGAACTCTTTTATTTTACTCTCACTATTTTCAATTCCTATCAAAGCTTCAGTATCGTAAATCTAGTTTACGGCTATAAATGTCGATTGTCACACAAACAAAAGTGTCTCAAGTCATCAGATATAAACAAGTTTAAGTTTAGCGACCAAACAGTGGCGCGTCCCTCCCAATTATTGACATGCTTTATTGCTCTTACTATCCGAGGCGCGCTTTTATCAGCGTATGTCTCTCTGCCCGATACAATTACCAAACTTACCCTACGTATACACAAGCAAAAACCAACTTTACCACCTTGTTATAAAGTAGAACCTATCGACACGAACTATCCAATATTATTTCTACTTAATTTGATGGCGAAACTTTCTATATCGAACTCATTTATACTTACGAAGATTATCAGTTGGGGTTCGCGCGGATTCGACGGGCAATGGGCCTTCAAGATTGATATCTTAAAGTAAACATGAAACTGTGTCTATTTGTTTACGTTTTACGAGATTTCGCTGACAATAATTCAGTCTTAGTTTATTATAGACTGTTAAGCTTATTGTGTGGGACATTATAAAAGTCCAATAAAACTGATAACAACAATATAAACTTTGGTTTCTTTGACACTTCTGATGGATTAGTTAGTCACTAGCAAATTATCACCAACGACAGAAGTAATAGCTGCTTCGTTTGTCTGGCGGTCGGTCGGTGGGCTGTGCTGATTTGGTAGGAATTTGAATTTGAGGAGTGTAACAGTTTTTAGACAGTAGATAGTCAATATTATGGTATTAGACGCACTTAGAGTTTTGTACCATCATTGTATGTATGTAGTACCTCAAGAATAAGTAAAACACACATATAATAGTAACCTTAGGTAACTTAATTTGATGACAGAAAACCTCAAACATTAGAAAAAACCATTATTCAAACTACCCACATATCCCACATATGTTACAAAATGTTAATTCTAAATCGCATTTCGTTACAAAGATCCGATGTTCACCACACCGACTCGACTGCGTGTGACCGCGTCCGTCCACATTGACATCACCAATCACTCGATTCAGTTTGAGCGGCCGTGCGTTATAAATCGACTAAATCGGCCACCCCTAGACGTCCCGCTAGTGTACCGTGAACTCGACTAATTTCTTTGTTGTTAGGCACACGCACCGCACTTGTAATCAGTTGATTCTTTGCCACTGACGGTTTTTCAAACGGACCGTGGAATCTGTACATGTTTCTTATTTATTGTCTTTTAACTAAAAGACACAGGATATTTGACTTCAACAGTTTTCTTTAAACAATTACAGACCTAACGAACATTAAGCCGCTTTTCTTTTTTACTGTACCGTCTACTATATTTATACTAATTACGTTCTTAGTTACTGACTGGGATTGACACAAAAACGATAAAAGACAATCTTCGTTTAAACACCAAGGCATCTCGTACAATAAGTGGTAAGAAAAGGATCTCCATACATTTTTAATACTACTATTTAGTTAGTTCCGTTCACCAACTGAGCTACTAATACGTCAGTGTCCCCTCTTATTTATGCATTGCTGTTTGCGACACACGTCTCCTACAATAACGTTCATTTTGACCGAACATTAGTCACACTAGCATTTGGTTCCTCTAGTGGTTTAGGTGACATTTCTAGAAAAAAAATACAATTGTCAAAATAGGCGGGAACACTTTCAAGATGGCGTCGAAGTTTTATTCATTGCAAGTAAGTTAATGTTTTTATTAGGTATCACACATAATACTTGTTAATGTCGATATAAAATTGAAACAAAACCTTA